TCTTTAGAAATTTATATAGATAAAACAATCTGATAATTATTACAAAAGGATAACCAGGATTACATAATGTGTAGACACCTTGTTAGACATGGAATTAGATAACTTCTCCTAGAATCCTATAATATACCACATTTTCATTCCATTATTTTTTTTTTTATCTAAGATGACATTAACAATTAACAAAAGTTAAAAACCATCCATCTTCACACACGCAGTTCATTAGTCTTGCTCTGTTCAACATAAAAAGTAATCATGCATTGGTCTTGAGAATATAATATTGTTGTTCCTCATTTTTTTATATAATATGTAGACACCTTGTTACACATGAAAATCATTATGATTTCAATTTTTCTTGTGTTCGTCAATATAATTAATCTGCAACTATCTATCTATTACTTAAACTATCCATTTATATTTAATAACAATACATTTATATTATATTAAGAGAGACTAGACTCATTTTTGAGAGACACCAATTGATCAAATGCTCTAGCCAATATAAAGAGAACTGTTTTGGAACCTACTTATAAACATGAAGATACGGCCTTTCAATCAAGATGCATCGCATGATTCAGATTTAGACCTAGAGAAAATGTGATGTCTAAAGGAAGTTATCAGAAAACATAATAACCGATGTCTCTTTTTTTTTTCATCTCAAAGAGAAACCAAATATTGATCAGTTTTTGCCGTGGCTTAGACGATATGTTCCCTGAGTTTCTGGTTACAGTCTGTTAACTGTAACGTCGCTCTTGTTTACAGCTTCTTCGAGGTATCTGTTACGCAGGAGGATCTTCGACCTCCAATCATCTATCAGTACCATCGCAAGGCCAAGAGTGGGGGTCTTAAGATGAACTAAAGGCCTGCTAAATGGAGAGTGGAGCCCAATAAAAAGACTACTTGGGGAACAAGGGAGTCGAGTAGAGAAGTGTCGACGTGTCAATAAGACAAGGGGGGACTGACGTATATAAGGATACAGAATATTGTAGATATTAATAACAAATATTTGTGTATTCATTATGTAAGATATTTACATATATTTCTAGTATCTAGATTAGGTATTTGTAAGATATGTACAATTCTTCCAATCTCCTACTCTCATCATTCTCAACATGACGCACACCACACGTGAGTCTGTCTAGAAAAGGATCGAAGGATTGATCATCAGGTCATGTTCATGAGTGAGAAAGTGTTCGTGATTTAGAGAGAGTCCTTGTAATCGCTACCTTTTTATTATCAATACAAATCTTCTTATTACAATCTTGAGTGCTTTATAAATTGGAAGGCTAAACCGTAACAGTATCTTCCTCTTGGGTGGTTTTTTCAAAAGAGAGAAAACTCATACCCTTTGGAGCAACGGATGGTTTTCTCAAAGGAGGAAGCTGTGGAGGTGTTGCATGTTCATTGATCTTTGAAGATGATGCATCAGATGAGTCTTTTTGGTTAGATTGACTAGGGGGCTTCAAAAACGTAGTTGAGCTTAAAAGTCTTGGTTGTGTCGCCTGTAATCTGGCTATGGCCTGACTCACGGTTTGTTGTATATTTGATTTCTGAGGTAAGACAGATGCTGCAGCGGTGTTACTTGACGAGGTTGTTACATTTGCACCCGGTCTATCTGAAGCAGCCTGTGGAGTACCCTGTTAAGTGAAAACTGGCATATTAAGATCAGATCGAAATAATAAGACACACGAGAAGAACCAGATTGGGATTTTACCTTGTGCGAAAACAAACATTTATCACCCCTGCGGCAGAAACCATTGGT